CGGCTGCGCCCCGGCCCGGGGCGCGGGATGGCGGCGCGGGGCGCCCTGCGGGCCGGCAGCGTCTCCCCGAGAGCGGCCCCGAGCCCGGGAGGGTGAGTGCGGCAGCGCCTGGGCCGTGATCTGCGAGCAAAAATAAACGGGGTGCTGCCGTTACTACGAACCGCCGGGCAAGAAACGCGGCTGGCTGATCGCGGGTTGAGCAAGGAGGGTGAGGAGGGCGAGCTGCGCTTCCATCAGTAAAGGAAATAAATCAGTCCTTGCAGCAGGCTTCCTCGAGAGAGCACGGCCCAGGACAGGCCGCATAAAGGTGCGCGAGGGTGGCTGTGCAGAGCTGTTCCCACCTCGGCTTTGTGTTCTTTTTTTCCCTTTTTGACTTTTTTTTTTCTTTCCCCAGTAAATCTGCTACTGGGTGAACTCCACGTTCCCATGCAGGAAACTGGTTTACTTTGGTACTGTAACACACCACACTCCAGCATGACATTACCAGCACTGGAGCGTAGTTCTCAGCTGTTTGACAGGGCGCAGGCACGCTCACAGGCAAGCGCAGCAAGCCAGGACTCTTGAGGGCATTCATGAGTTCTCATAAACACAGTATCTATCCAACAAAATGTTGCTTGATTGAGGATGGGAAGAATCCTCACCAAAGTAAGGTGAATGCAACTGATCCTAATGTAGCTCTAAATAGTGAATAGCACCGATAGTAGGTCAAATAAGTCCCACTACAGCCTATCAGTGTGTCACGTTTTTGGATGGGCCACCTACTATCCAAGGCGGTTACTCGCTACCCTGACCATGCTTCCAGGCCAATGTTTAGCTTTTTTTTTTTTTTTTAAGGCCTGGAATTTTTTTTTCTTTAGACATGTGTAGCGAGGACATTTATTTAGCAGCTTCTTTCCAATGCTTATCAGTCGCAGATTATAAATGTTTCAGCTCCTAGTTACCTTACCTCATTTCCACAGCCACATGCTAGATTGTTACCTTTGGTTTGTTACTTATCTCCCCTATCTTGGCTTGTGCTGTGCAGCTTCTCCTCCCTATCTAGCTGATAACTAACAGCACACTATCTAATGAAAATTGGCAATGCATTTCTAACTTTACCCCAAATCGGCTACAATGAAAGTTTCCGTAATGATTCATTTCATCAGCAATGTATATTTAGCTGCAGTATATGTCTATCCCTCCTTGCAGCAATTCAGAGCTTTACATACAAAAAATCCGTGTACTTTTGTCCTTCATGTTATGCAACTAGTATTTTCTGGAAGAATGAGTAGGAAGTACTGTTACAGAACGTGCCCCAGCCAAAGGCCTAAATGTTTTTTTGTTTGTTGTTTTTTTTTTTGAAATAAATAGCATTTGTGATATAAACCGAACTACTTATCACATCCAGATCTAATAGATCAGGACCTTTTTCCCCAGTTCCCATTTCTGCACTCTCAGTGGAGACTGAAAATCTGTGTGTTTTTATTATTACCTGTGCTTCTCAAAACAGAGTGTATAACAGTGATTCCAGCGTCTTTGTTAAACCAGAGTTTAATAATTCTCTGTCTTCCTGTCTCTCACATCTTACTGTGCAAGTCTTGCATTCTTTTGCAAATGCATCACTGTCTGTCTCACAGTTAACTAGTTTGGGAGAGAAGGGAGAGATAAAAGGGAGAGAAATTCCAGCTGATTATCAAGAGCCATAAACTTGTTTTTCACAATAGTTTGCACTTTACCTGTGCTTCTGCTTTCAGGCTTCCAGCTGTTCTGTAATGGAGAGGTTGCCTGCTGCTGAAGTGGAAGGAGGAAGGCAGGTCCTGCAGTCTTTTGAGGAGGAGGGCAGTTCCTGCATCTTTTAATTCACTAGAATAGGAAAGAGGAGCTTTATTAGCAAGGAGTTCACAGCACTGTTTTAGCTGTTTGGTATAAACATAGGAGAAAGATTTATAAACTAGCATTAGCAATTTGTATGAACAGTAGGAACATAGCCATGACTTTTTAGCTCCCTGAAGACAGGGACCCCTTCTGAACCTGAAGACTTTTCGTTTGGAAGGTTTGAAGTAGAAATGACACAGAATCTAGCCTTGTATCGAAGCAACCTTGAACTTTAAGAAGTTAAATTCAGATATAAATTCTGCAACTAGCCCTTGTCCCTATAACAGACAAACTCAAACACTATATTTAATACCCTGGGTCTTGGGAAACTAATAACCATAACATTTGTATCCATTCATGTTCTGCCTAGGACTTGGGTGTGATTTTATCTGACTAGTTTGTCAAAAGTAACTCAAAGATCCTAAGGCGTATATTATTGTGATCATCTAGTGCAACATGATCTAGCTGACACCCAAAGGTCAAATTTGGCTCTGAGAGCACTATCATTTTGTCTGGTGTTGGGAGGCAAAAATGGCAGTTCAAACAATGAAATGTCCCAACAGCAGAATGCTGCTTTGTACGTTTGTCACAGATAGATACAAAGCTGGCAGCTGCTGCTGCTGCCAGTAGAAATAGGAAGAAGTGGATGGGTAGTCATAACTGCTCTTTTGGGGGACAAGAACAAAGCATATAGGAGCGATGTCAAAAGCCTGTGTCTGACACCGAGTGACTACTGAGGTTGGAGCATATCAATCCACTCTAACTAGTCTTTCAAAGGATATTCGTGGTTAAGTTATGGAAGCTTTAAATGTTATGTTGCGTAGCAGTGCTATACAATAACTATAAAGCCACAACTGCTATAGCATCAATTCCAAATTAAGCAGAGCACGTTTTAAAAATACGCAAAGCTCAAACAAATCAAACTTTTGCATTAATGAATATTCAAGGTCTGAAGAACAGTGGTTATAAAGAAAACCGTATACTCATTTCAAGCAATACTTCTATTCTTATTTGCTATTGTTTTACACTCATTTGGCACAGGATGACAGAAATGCCAAACTCTAGGAACTGTATTAGGAAAAAATCATTTTTCTTTAAGGCGCAGGTTCCGATTCATCCCTCATCAGTGGTGTCTTATAATCTCAGCCAGAACTCATCTGCGTGGTCTCTAGCCATTTACATGCGGAGTCAGTTCCCAAGTTGTAGCTGCTTCTAAACCAAGTGGCTCTGAGTGGACCCAGTCCCTGCTCCTGGCCTGGCTCCATAATATGCTCCCAGACTCAGAGTCATCCACTGGGTACAGGACTCTGCTCCACAGCTGGTCACACGCTGCCACTAATTCCTAGATCTCTAAGTCCCACAACTGTGAGATAGCTGTGAAATAGGTAACCACTGTGAGCCACAGTGTGCCCAGTCATCCTGGTTCTCAGATTGCCCAGAACAGGAATATGGTGAGAGTTTGCTTCTAGTTTCCAGGGAGAGAAAGGGCAGTGGGCAAGCATAATGCGCACCCAATTCTTATCCCAGTACAGACAAAATGGAGCATTGCAAGAATCCATTCCTGGACACTAGGATGTGCTCCAAAATACCACAAAATAGAGCCCTATTCCATTAATTGTGCTCCATTTTAGCTAGCTATGGGCAGTCCCAAGACATGCCCTTTGTCTATCTACATTCAGCACTTGAAGAGTGCAAGATTTGTCATCATTTCAATGCAGGCAGAATGCCTCTCAATGCCCTTCCATGAAAGCCTTTGTACATGTAGACGTGGTTGGCCTACTTTGCTTGCTTGTATGCAAGGAAATGTATGCATTGCAGCTTTTCCTATCTTACATGACAAGTAGTTCATGGACAAAGGACTGAGAAACACAGGAGCACGTTAGCTCTCCCTGAGGCTCATCCTGATTTCCACAAGAGGCGCTATAAAGAAAAGGCCTTTTTCCAGCGTAAAAGTCAGCTGTTCAAAGATATTCAGGTTTCATACTTACACTTGAATGGGTTCTTGAAGGCTTCTCTGTGTCCTTTAGACAGTTGTCAGATATCTCAGTACGTTACAGTATGCAAGCTTTCCACATTTGGGCAGGCTAATGTGTATACAGACACACATGTAAACATATGTAAAAATATAAATACACATACAAAATGGAGTTCAAAATCTGACACAAGAGTAGCTTATTCTGCCGCACTGGCTAATCACACTTACCTCCTATAATTTGTTCAAGAGTCAGTAAGTAGTTAATTGCTCAATTTTGATGCAGATCCAATACAAATTTCTCCATTATAAAAAAAAAGAAAAGGTTTCTATTAACTTCTTAATAATCACTTCTCTTGATAATCTCAGCAGACAGGACAAATATTGAGCGGGAGTGGAGATTAAACCATCTACTTATCCCTCATTTTGGATTCTTCAGGGCTGTACTGAGACACACAGGGAAAAAAATGAGCAATGCTGCACAGTACCTCCCTAGTGTATAACTTAATAGCATGTCACAGTTCCATAATTAAAACTGAGTTTTTTGCATTTCTAGCAAGAATTCAACCCTTTGATTACCTATGAAGAATAAAGAACATAATCTCAATAATCACAGGAAACATTCCAAGAATCCTTTAAGTAATTTATGGTTTAGTTCGGGTTTTTTTGGTTTTGGTCTGATTTGACTTGAAGAAATGTAGGATATTCACTGAGATAGTCTTTTAAGTCCTTACCTGTGCCCTATTAGAGTATCAGGAGCTTTAAATAGCAACAACACATATTTTTAAAGATCAAACTCATGTGCAATCTGAAATACTAAAAAGCCAGTATAAGGGCTGTCAGATTCCACTAAACGTATTTGATGGGAATGTCATTTGCACTTATCCTGCAAAACAAAATGAAAACATGTTCCAACAACATGAGAGTCATAACTAATGGGCGCTTCTTGCTTTCACGGTATTGCAGTATTATTATGATTTGGTGGCATTATCTTGTATAACAGAATATCACATAAATGTAAATATCTTTCATAGTTATTCACACAGTCATCACAGCACTTCAATGTGTGATACCAATTAAAAAAATCAATGTCTAGAACAATAATATCTGTTGTAAAACCATCTACAGTAATATATAAACCTCACTGAAAAAAAAAAAAAAGATTTGATTTAGCAGAAAGACTTTAGCTTCAAGTAAGGAGTTGGAAAACACTCCACAGATGTAAAAATACAGTAAACCTTTAGGAGTATCATAACATTTTTTGGATGTGATGTATACTCTGTTCTGTTTATGCTTGTTATATGTATTTTTCAGAAGCTGTTACTGCCAGTAGTACTTTCTACAGCTGCCAATGCTGCTATTTTCTGGCATTTTCATATGCATATACGTGTTGGGGGAAGAAGAGAAAACATTTGGAAATTTCTCCTTAGTGCCATACCCACAATATTTGGTAGATGTCACCTCTCTCTCTTACCAATATATGTTTGTCTGTAAAACTTAGGAAATTGGTAATCTGAGTTAAACGTTATAGTTGTCTCAGAGAAACATTCCT